ATACCAGAAGAAGAGAAGCCCAATTCCAACCAAAGCTCCTAAGAGCGAGGTCTTGGCGGTGGGTCTGAAATTGGGATAGACATTTGCTGATCTTGCATAGGTCCAAAGAGTCAAGGCAGGGTCTTCGATGAGCCCGTGACAGTTGGGGTAGTTGTACTGAAGCAGGTACTCCCTTTTAAGCCGGGATCTTATGGCCAGCCGCTTGGCTTGCGCTTTCCGGGTTTCCAGAGCTATGTCATCTTCAGCTGGGTCGAGGGTAGGGGGCAAGGTGGCCAGGCGCGATGGCTCATACTTGGGGAACTTCATCTTGGGAACCAGATGCTCAACTGCGCCTGCTTTCTATCACTTTTTAACACTATGATGGAGTGATTCCACTGCAATGAAACAGAAGAAAGCAAATTAGAGCAAAGAAAGAAAAAGATAAAACTATATCATTTCAGATTATGTGATTATATTTCTAGAATACACAAAAGAATCAATGTGAAAAATACAACAAAAATAAGAATTTTGTAAAGGTAGTTTATAAAATTAACAACGCAAAAATCTATATAAACAAAAGCCATTTAAAAGATATAATGGAAGGATAAAGGTGTAATGAAAGAAGACGACCCTATTTATGATAAAAAATAAAATAATCATAATCTTAAAATGTCTAAAATGCATATAAAAACTGTAAAAAAACTTTTGAAAGACAAAAGGGAAACTTGAATAAATGAAAAGACATGCCCCATTCTTAGATAGGAAGACTTAATTTCATGAAGATGGCCATCCTCACAGGTTAACCTCTAAATGTAACACGATCCCAATAAACATACCATGAGTTCTCTTTCTCTGAAATTAAAAAGTTGATTATAATTTGGAAAAGAACAAATAACAATAGCTAGATAATGCTTGAAAGAAAGCCAGGTTCCAATATTTTTTAATATATAAGCAGCCTCCGTCATTAAAACAAGACACTGGCCTATTCATAGACAGAACGGAGAAAATCCAGAAACAACCAATTGCAGATGCAAAACAAGTAAATACACAGTAAATACAGCATCTCAAGGCAGTGAGAAGGAGAAAGAAAATTCCCTCATGCTCTCTTTTACTCACTCCCCATCTCCCCTCCCCCCACCCCAACCATAAGTCTGAAAGGTTCTGGCACCTTCTGGAACACTCAAGGCTTCTGGGTCTCTCCAGTTGCCAGTGGCTGCTGGCAAGCCATCCAGCCATGATACCACCAGGCCCCTGTGAAATGGAAGTCACTGACTCCCACCCTGAAACTAGCTTTCTGAAGATACCAGTAACTATGCCATCCATGTTGCTGGCTGTCACTGTGAGGCCACCAGGTCAGCCAGCAAGTGGAATTTTTCACTTCCTCCAAAACCTTCCATGGTGCTGATTTTCCCTCCACTCTCTTGGCACCTGAAGCCCCAAGCTCATTGTATCCCATGGCTAATATCTATGACAAAGCAGGCCCTGAGAGAGAGGGTGAAGATGCCTGTAATTACCTTAGCAACGGAACATGCTGTGCATTGCAATCATTTACTCTCATCCCCATAGCAACAGAGAATCACAGAATCATTTGGAGCCCAGTGGCAATAGTGCTCACTTAGTCCAACCCCTTAGATTAAAACAGAAACAAAAAACCCCAAAGCACATAACGTTGCTGCTCAGATAGCCTTCATATCCCTGTGCATGTATGTTCTTTGTTTGGAATGTTTATAATGGATGTTGATACAAATAGAATTGGCCTGAGTGTCCATTTTGGTGGATGATTCTTAGGTTGATTTCAAATATGAAGCCTTGTCCTGCATTGTTAGGGACAAAGGAGGATTATTTGACTGATGGAGGCAGAGCAAGTCTGCCAGAAAAGAATGTTTCTGGGAGACGGGGAGTGGAGATGTTTACACCAGGGCTCACAGTAAGGATTCCACTTAACCAAAAGCTGTGACTGCCACCGGGTCATTTGGCACTCCTTGTGCCAATAGACCAGCCGGCAAAGAAAGGAGTTTCTCCATTGGTGGGGATAATAGACCCTGATGGTTACAGGAGCCATGTTTGCTGACATCTGTTGGGAGCAGAAAAGGTTACGTCTGGAACTCCAGGGATTCACTGAGTGGCGTCTTAGGGCTTCTGTGCCTCGTGATGATCAGGAAAGGGCAAGGACAAAGGGCGTGGTAACCTGGGCTCAGACTTCTCAGAGATGAATGTCACCCTACCCAGCAATCAATTTAGATCAGCAGACATGCTGGCTGAAGATGAGGGATGGGGCGGAAGAAGGCCACACATCAAGTGCAGAAGAAATCGAAGAACCAATTGCCATAGCAGCATTGTAGCTTCTCCCAATAATCCTGTTTTAAGTCTGTTTTTAGAAACCATGACCAGCCACCACTTTGAAGAATCAGTGGCGGGACAGAGTGAACAGGGCACAAGTGGATGAAGGGAAATGAAGTGTGACCTGGAGGACAAGCTGTCTGTGCCTCACTTTGTCACACCTTGGCCTTCACATATACTCCAAAGGCTGCTTACTGTAAAGGCCTGCAGCTGGAGACCTCAGCGCTTTTTCTGCGGGCTGCTGGAGGATGCGGGACCATGCACGGGGCAAGCAGGCGTCCTAGAGGGAAGAGGCCCCAGAAACAGCCCTCAAACAAAGACAGATGGTGAGCTAGTGAATAAAACCCCCAGCATCCTCATCCCTTGGGTGGGCTAACTTTGAGATATGTGTTCTGCGTGTCTCCCAAGTCTCTGAAGGGATTAAGCTCCAAAGAAAGCTGGCTTGATAACACACTTGATTCGCTTCCTTTCCTGCCTCACTTCCCCACTCCCCAGTGATCACATCCCTAAAATATCACTTGCACTTCAGTCCTTATCTCAGCGTCTTTGGGAAGAACACAAACCGAGATACCATGTCCTATATATTTTCAAGTTTATTGTCATATGGTTATGGATTATATTCTTATATATAAGGAAAAAAGTTTATATGACTTGTGTTAGTCCTGTAGTTTATTTGAACCTTAATTCTTATTTTCTTAATCAGAAGTGTATCCATCTTCTTAATTGCTTTCAAGAAATAAAAGATTCAAGGAATCTTCTCTTTTTTTTTTTTTCCTAATATTTGATTGGTTTCTGAGTTGGCCTTACCTTTTTTTTTTTTCTTCTTGTTGCTTTGGGTTTGCCTCAAGCTCAATCTTCAAACTTTTTTTATTTCCTAATATATGTGTTTAAACAATTGTCATTATGTACCTCATTTGTGATGTTCTATAAATGTTGACATGAATTGGCTTTTATTATCAGTCTGTTCTAAATATTGCTTGATTTCACTTGAGTTACTTGGTAATATGCTACTGCATTTTCAAATATGGGATTTTTTTGGCCTGGTTTTATTATTAATTTCAAATTTTATTGCATTAAGGTTGGATTGAGTATTTTCATTATTCTAGTTCCCCCCTATTAACATGTTATATATAATTTCATTTTTCTTTAGTTGCTACCCATGAGATTACAACATACATCATTGAATTAGTAGAGTGCACTATACATTTGTAGTTTTATCTGTTCCCAGGACAATGCCAGGATGTTGGAACACTTTAACTCCACTTCCCCTGGCTCCAACTTGACCAATAAAATGCAGTAGAAGTGATGTTCTGAGAATTCCAAGCTAAGGCCTTAAGACTGGAAGCTTCTGCTGCTTCTCTCTTTGAATGTTTGCTCTTGGGGTGCTCCATCATGGGGTGCAGCTTTTTGTTTTTAAGAATCCCAACCCACATGGAGAGGCCATACGGAGAAGAAGCAAGCTCTCTGGTTCACAGTTCCAGCTGAGCTTCCAGCCATCAGCCAGCACCAATTGTGAGCCAAGCAAGCGAGCCATCTTAACTATTTCAGCTCAGAGGATGCAGCCCCAGGTGACATCCAGAGGAGCAGAAGCACTGCCCAGCTGAGCCCAGTCAGCCCATAGAGTCATGACAGAAAATAGTTGCAACACTTAAGCAGAAGTCATCCTTAATTTTAGTCATGTATAGCTTTTAGTGCCTCAAACATCAATGTCTCATCAGTAACATATTCCTTACTATGCTTACCATCAAATGCAATTGTAAATATTACCTAGTTGCAGTAGGTAATTCTTGAATTTCACATCTAGGCGTCGAGACCATCTTAATGATCTCAGCCCCAGAAATTCTACTTGACTAATGATGACCAAGAAGATTATGGTAGGGTTGGAGCAAGCCTGACCTGAAGCCAGAACGGAAAAATTCACACAGAGCAGGAAAATGGATCAGATGTTTTCAAGTGGCAAGTGGAAGAAAAACCTAGAAATCAGACAAGTGGTTGAGAGGTAAGTCATTGCTTTGCAATGAAGGCCACCTGATTTAATGGTGTCCTAGTAAAACTTTAACAACTGGCTCTCTGGGTGGGGGGGGTGAGGGCGGGTGTGTAGCGTTTGTTGATTTCTTTGGTGTAAATGATCCCATCATGGCCTACTTCAAGTTACCAATGTGACGTCTCTGAACATAGGTTGAGAAGAATTGCACAGTGGGCTTCACCCACTGCAACACACCACTGGCTTGGTGGTTCACTGCAATATCTAAGAAGACTTCAGGTTTAGTGAGGACAGACCAGATTTCTGGGGCTAAGAAGCAAATGGAGATTGGAGAAGTGAAAGCAACAAGCAGGGACTATGTTTTCATGAAGATGTACTCAAAGGGAGGGTGGGATATAGAATAACAGCTGGAGTGGGATCCAGAATGGATGAAGGGTGTGTGTGTGTGTGTGTGTGTAGATGGGAAATAGTTCAAAGTATATATTGAGGAAAAAAACGCAACTAAGAGGAAAGTGTTGAATACTCAGGAGAGAGAGGATAGGTGATATAAGAAGCACCCTGTAGAAAAGAGGTGAGATGGCTTCCAGAGGGATTGTAGAGGGTCAGTCTCTANGAAGCATTCTGTTCTTAACAAAGTCTGCCCTCAGGAGAAACTAGTTAACCAGCGCCTAATCTGCTGGGCTTTCATCAGAGCCTAACTGACCTGGGGAAGGGAAATATCCAACTCCAGCTGGCTCTGGCCTTCCACGTGGAGGAAGGGAAATACCCAGCTCCAGCCCTCTCTTAACTATTCTGTCTCACTGAGGGCGGGCTGAGAAGCACTTGTGAGGCTCAGTCCCGAGGCACAGGCTCACTGAAAGACACAGACCTAATCACTGGGCTACAAATGCTTCCCCTTACCCCACATCTTACCCCTACATTACCACAGGTCCATTTACAGCAGTGTATTTTCTACCCAGTACAAGCTGGTCCTCGAATAACATTGTTTCATTCAAGGTCATTTAGGTATAATGTTGATGAGATGCTGTAGGAACTTAACTCTTGTTTATATAAATTAGCCTAGGTTAAAACTGGTTTCATTATAGTCATTTTGCTTGAAGTTGAAGAACCTATCTACTACATTAAGTGAGGACTTACTGTATGTACATCGCATCCACCTTTCAACAGAAAATTACAAGACATACTAAAAGGCAAAAAACACACACTGACGAGACTGAACAAGCACCAGAACAAGAGTCAGATATTGCAGGAATGTTGGAATTACCAGGCCAGGAATTGTTAAAACTATGATTGATATGCTGAGGGCTTTAATGGGAAAAGCAGACAACATGCAAAAACAGGTGGACAGTGTAAGGAGAGAGAGAACAGTCTAAGAAATAATTGAAAAGAAACACGAGATCAAAACCACCATAACAAAGAAAGGCTTTGATGAACTTATTAATAGACTGAACCCAAGTGAGGAAAGAACCACTGAGCTTGAGAATATCTTTTCTTTTCTTTTTTAATTGGGGAATTGCGGGAGGGAAACTGTTGGGGAATTGGGGAGGGTTCCAGCCAAGTTGCTGTTCTTCAATCTTAAATGTGGAGGGTGCCAGTCGCCATCTGGCTGCCCATTGGCAGCTCGTGGCCTCTGAGCTCAAAGTGCTGTGTTACAATCTTAGTTGCGGTGGGTGTAGCCACCTTGCCATGCGGGAGTTGAACCAGCAGCCTTGTTAAGAGCGCATGTTCTATCCACTGAGCCATCGGGTGACCTTGAGCTCAGCTCAAGGTGCCGAGTTCAGTCTTAGTTGTGGGCGGACGTAGCCCACCATCGAACAGGCAACCTTGTTAGGAGCACGTGCTCTCACCAGCTGAGCCATCCTGCCACCTATTGGCAGTCCAGCTGGGGCGCAGCATCACTGGCCCATGTGGGAATCGAACCAGCGGCCCTGTTGCTCAGCACTCATGCTCTTAAGCCAACTCTTAACCAGCTGAGCCACTCGGCCAGCCCTGAACTTGAGAATATCTTAATAGAAACCTCCAAAACTGAAAGGCAAAGAGAAAAAAAAGACTGAAAAACAAAACTAATCAAGTAATTAGTATCAGAATATATGACTACTGCCTACATATCAATAAGCAAAGATAAACAACCCATATCAAAATACGCAAATGATATGAACACATAATTTGGCTTGCAGGCTGTAGCGTACTGACTGACTGACCCCTGAGTTAGAAGGCTATTGCAATAACCCTGGTAGCATCAGTTGTGGTGATAATAGTGAAAGTTCTAAGACAGGATTGGGTATTTAAATATAATGTTTAATATATAGAATATAATGAGAAAGGTTGCACACCAAAAGGAAACCTTCAAACCAACTTTTCTTATGAAATATTAATGCAAAAACCTGAAATAAAATATTAGCAAGTAGAATCCTATTTTTAAAGTAAAACAATGTAATCAAGTAGAGTTGCCATCAGCACTTGTAAGTGTGGTTCAATGCTGGGAAACTCATTAATATATCACATTAATGGGACTAAGGAGAAAATTGTATGACTTTTTTCATAGAAGCAGAAGAGACATAATAAAAGTAAATACCCACTCATGACTTTTAAAACTGCTATATAAAATAAGAATAGACACTTCTTTAACATGATAAACACACACACACA